CTGAGATATAAACAGTTCAGAACAATGAAAATGGTGACACATCAAATGCTTCCAATAGGGATTAAAAACAAGTTTCTAATGAGAATAGAAAAAGAAATTTAAAGATTTGAGATTTGAAGCCAAAAAGCAGTTTCTTGTTTTATCTTGTATATGCCTATACACTAGGTGCAGTGGAGAAAATATAAACAGACAAAAATGGATGATTTGAACCCATGTGTTTTTCATACAAATATGCAATATTTTGAGTAATGTGTCTGTCACAAAAGAGACTCAAATATATCTCAAAGAATCAACACTAAAGGGAGAATTTGTCACTCTTATTTTAAGTGCCATATAACTCTGGGTTAAATAATGTACTCTATTTCAATTCAACTCCTATGTTCTCTTAAAGGATAATAAAGTTAATATGTATGAACATTTCAAATTATATTCATAATAGATGATATTAAAAAATTATTGTACACCTGGTTCTTCTACAAACAATGCATCTGTCATTAATTTAGCTTTCTCCTTGCTGACTGTGATATCCAAACGCATATATTACAAAATGTGGTTTTGGTCTACTAAGTGAAAACATTTACAGGGGCATCTGTTAAGTACTTTATAACTGAAAGCAGCCCTTTCCATTGTATCCATTATATCCAAAGAGGTTTTCAAGAATTTTTATAGCTTCAAGAGAGATATCTATGCCCCAAGATTGTAAAAAACATAAAATATAGAAGTCCTTCCCTTCTGAGTACTTATACTTAGGAAAAAAAAAAAAAGGACCAGATAATCTAGATTTTCTATGTAGACTGTTTCTTACATACAACAGGGTCTAATTTTGATTATAATAATAATAATGCTATAATCAAAACAGCTATTTGGTAGTTGTTCATTAAATTCTATGTGGAGGGACCAGCAGTTAGCATAATGTCTATGTCACTGGACTCCCACGCAGTCGACTGCGGTTCCAGTCCCGGACCCGGTGGCCTAAAACTCATGCTGGGTGCATGTGTGCATGGGCCCAAGATCCCAAGAGGAGAATGGAGAAGGGAGTGCAGCGCGGTCATCCCCCTTGGGGGGTGATTTCTCGCTTTCTATCTCTCTGTCTCTCTCAGTCTGTCTGGCAAGCACACGCACCCTATAGTGAAAACCTCTCAAAAAAAAAAAAATTCTATATGGAAAGAAAAAGTCTTGATAATTTAACCCTGTGAAACCAATCTGGGCCTCAGTCATCCACTTTCTTTGTTCTTAGTGATACCATTCATCACATAATTTCTATATTTTCAGTTTCTGTGATATAGTTTAGTTAATAATTGTTTTTATCTTTTTCTGGCTTTTGCCATAGGACACTTGCAGTTGCCAGAGACAGAAAGAGACATAGGGAGGGAAAGAAAGCCAGAACCCCCCTCCCCATCACCACCACCATCACCACCACCATGGGAAATGGTCAAACTGCAATCTTTTCTCCTCTATTCTCCTTTTGGGATTTGGGGCACCCACACACATGCCCAGTGTAATTTTCAAACCACTGGGCTCAGGACATACACTGTGTTTGGCCATGTGAGAATCCAGGAGTAATGTGTCTGTCACAAAAGAGACTCAAATATATCTCAAAGAATCAACACTAAAGGGAGAATTTGTCACTCTTATTTTAAGTGCCATATAACTCTGGGTTAAATAATGTACTCTATTTCAATTCAACTCCTATGTTCTCTTAAAGGATAATAAAGTTAATATGTATGAACATTTCAAATTATATTCATAATAGATGATATTAAAAAATTATTGTACACCTGGTTCTTCTACAAACAATGCATCTGTCATTAATTTAGCTTTCTCCTTGCTGACTGTGATATCCAAACGCATATATTACAAAATGTGGTTTTGGTCTACTAAGTGAAAACATTTACAGGGGCATCTGTTAAGTACTTTATAACTGAAAGCAGCCCTTTCCATTGTATCCATTATATCCAAAGAGGTTTTCAAGAATTTTTATAGCTTCAAGAGAGATATCTATGCCCCAAGATTGTAAAAAACATAAAATATAGAAGTCCTTCCCTTCTGAGTACTTATACTTAGGAAAAAAAAAAAAAGGACCAGATAATCTAGATTTTCTATGTAGACTGTTTCTTACATACAACAGGGTCTAATTTTGATTATAATAATAATAATGCTATAATCAAAACAGCTATTTGGTAGTTGTTCATTAAATTCTATGTGGAGGGACCAGCAGTTAGCATAATGTCTATGTCACTGGACTCCCACGCAGTCGACTGCGGTTCCAGTCCCGGACCCGGTGGCCTAAAACTCATGCTGGGTGCATGTGTGCATGGGCCCAAGATCCCAAGAGGAGAATGGAGAAGGGAGTGCAGCGCGGTCATCCCCCTTGGGGGGTGATTTCTCGCTTTCTATCTCTCTGTCTCTCTCAGTCTGTCTGGCAAGCACACGCACCCTATAGTGAAAACCTCTCAAAAAAAAAAAATTCTATATGGAAAGAAAAAGTCTTGATAATTTAACCCTGTGAAACCAATCTGGGCCTCAGTCATCCACTTTCTTTGTTCTTAGTGATACCATTCATCACATAATTTCTATATTTTCAGTTTCTGTGATATAGTTTAGTTAATAATTGTTTTTATCTTTTTCTGGCTTTTGCCATAGGACACTTGCAGTTGCCAGAGACAGAAAGAGACATAGGGAGGGAAAGTCAGAAGCCCCCTCCCCATCACCACCACCATCACCACCACCATGGGAAATGGTCAAACTGCAATCTTTTCTCCTCTATTCTCCTTTTGGGATTTTGGGCACCCACACACATGCCCAGTGTAATTTTCAAACCACTGGGCTCAGGACATACACTGTGTTTGGCCATGTGAGAATCCAGCTCTTAACCATCAGGCTGCCTGCTGCCATTGTAACAGTTTTTTGTTATTTTGTTTTCAGTTTTTGGTATAGGGCATGTGCACTTGCCTAAGAAAGAGAGAGTGACAGAAAGAGAAGTAGAGAAAGAAAGTGAGAAATCACCCCCAAGAGGGTATTTCCATGCCATTCCTTCTCCTCCATTCTGCTCTTGGGATTTTGGGCACACACACACACACACCAGCATGATTTTTAAGTTGCTAGGTCCGGGATTTGAACCTCAAAGTCAGCCATGTGGTATCTAGCCACTGGCCCATAACTATAGTTTTATTCTCATGCTCATGGTTCTGATTAATGCTTCTTCCTGCCAAAGTAATCTTGTAATACTTTTCTTATTTTTAAAGTATCATATAAAGTTAACTTCTTTCCTTTTGGTATTTAATTCTATGAATTTTAATATGTGTATAGAATGTATGGAATTACCACTATAATCATG